CCCAGGACATCTGGCTGAGACTAGAAGGGTAGGAGGAAAGCATTAGCTTTAATTACAGTCATATTTACTCACTTTCTGTGCATGTACATATGTGAGGGACATATGCTTGCCATCATGCATGTGTAATGGTGAGAATACAAATCGAGACAGTCAGTTCCCTCCTTCCACCATGTAGATCTCCTGAGTTTACTCCGAATTCAGGTCAGGCTTGGTGACGGGTGCCTTTGCTGCTGAGCCATCTCACTGACCCTTGTGTTGTTACTCTTTTGTTGGCGGAGGATGCCCGTTCGGGTCCCAGCTACCCAGACCCAAAATAACCACACAGAAACTATATTATTTGCAACACTGTTTGGCCTATTAGCTTATGCATATCTCTAGATCACTCTTATATCTTAAGTTAACCCATTTCAATTATTTTATATTTTATCACGAGGCTCATGGCCTACTGGCAAGATTCCAATGCATCTGTCCCAAGAGGTGGCTACATGGTATCTTGTGACTCCGCCTTCTTTCTCCCAGCATTCAGTTTAGTGCCATCCCCCCCACCCCACCTAGCTCTACTCTGCCCTATCACAGGCCAAGGCAGCTTCTTTATTCATTAACCAACAAAAGCAACACATATACAAAAGGACTTCCCACATCAATATTTGTTTAAATAATGGAGAGTATTAATAGACATGCTGGGGTTCTTACATGGCCATTCAACCTTTATAGTAACCTATGAGGTAAGTACTGTTGTCTTCATACCCACTTTACAGATGAGGTCACTGAGGCACACAGGCATGCGTTGATGGAAGTCGAAGCTGCGAGAGAACCAGAACTCAAACTAAGCAGGTCTAGCGCACAGCCCTTGCTCTCCGCTGCACTTACACCACTCTTATTACAGGAATGACAAGACAGGAAAAGAGGAAATGGGAAACCGGCTCTAGTCAGAGAGAATGCTCGTCAAAAGAAAAGGCCACAATCAATAAAGCATTGAGCCGCTTTCCTCTAAATATGGGATGCACCGTCCTGGGATGGAGGAAAGTCAAGGAGAAGTCATGTTGACCAAAACAAAACACGCCATCATAATCAGAGTGAGACCCCACCTCGTCCCAGAGCCTAGAGATCCATCGCAAGCTTAGAGGGCTGTGTGTAGAGATGAAGACAGCGGACGGCAATGAGCCACCCAGCAGCTGGCTATTCTTCCCTACAGGCCAGCAGCCTAAGGAGGGATGCTCAGGGAAAGAGCTGCTGTCCTTTCTAGCCAAGTGCCTCAGGCTGTGGTAGGGCAGTTAGTGTTCACCCGCAACGGGCAATGCAGGGCACACTCACTTCGAGAAACAATCCAGACAGGTCCAGCTTGAGAAGAACTTGGAGAACCATGAGGAACTCGACTCTGGGGACACAAGTCGGGCCATTCACTTCACTCCTCCAAGCCTAGGTTTCCCCACTTGGAAACCTGAGGCAACTTGGCCAAGTGTCATCAAATCAGAGAGCAGACTGCTTGTAAAACATTAACACCAAACAGAGCCTGGCACCCAGCCAGGTTCAGTGAGGAAAGAGGCGTATTTCTATTATCAGCAGACTGCATCCTGAACAGCTCAAACAAGTTAGAAGGGGTCGGATGAATCTTAAAGACGCATTGGGGGAGAAATGAAACCAGAGGCACACCCAGTGCACTCTCAGCATGTGCTCAGTACATGCCCAGCACAAGCTCAGCACTGCCCTCAGTCAACCTCATGCAGGCCCTCTCCCTCAGGACCCGTCTCTGGATAAGTGAGGACAGCTCTCACACTCTTCCCCCAGTCAAGCTCCCAGACTATAGCGCTGTTACTGTTGTCTCTCCAAAATTGTTCCTCTTCACTCCCTTGTCTACAACACAGTGTGACTCCCTTTTGTCCTACTCAAAAAATGCTTACACTGAGCTTTTCATTCCCGGGGTGTGGTGGGGTCGCTGTTCCAAGAGGTGGGATACCTTCCTTTGCCCTAAATACCACATCCTCATCAATGCCCAAATCCCAGCTTTTCTACATCTCACCATGTTTCCTATGACAACACTGTTTCATACACAGCCCCCGTTAGCCCCAGCCTTGCCATGGCTTGTATTCTCTCTCCCATTGCTTCATATAAAGCTCTAGGGACAGGACCTCTAACCCTTGCCGGGAAATTCTTGGCAGCTCAGATATTTCGACCCTGCCTTGGTCTCCTCTGGTGGGCTTCATTCCTGCAAACGGTCCTCCACCGCCCCCTGCACGTCTTGGGCCTCTAGCAGGTCAGCCCTCCCCGGGCTCATGTACTCTCTCACTTACATGAGTCCATACTCTTTCTCGCGAGCGCTATAGGACAGGACATGGAGTGTGCCTGTGCTGGAATGGTAGTGCCAAGAGCAGAGTATCCTGAGATTTCAAATGCCATAGGTAGGAGCTGCAGAGATGGCTCAGCACTTAAGGGCACTTGTTGCTCTTGAAGAGGACCAGTGTTCAGTTCCCAGCACCCATACCGCAGTTCATAACCATTTGTAACTCTAGCTCTGGGGAAACCCAGCACCCTCTTCTGACTTTGGCAGGCACCAGGCACTAGTGCGCTGCACATGCACACACGGAGGCAGAGCACTTAAGCACATAAAAGAAAATGAATGAGTCTCTTTTAAAATGGCTAAGAGAACCAGGAGGAAATGGCGCACATCTTTAATTCCAGCACTCGGGAGGCAGAGGCAGATGGATCTCTGTGGTCAAGCCTGGTCTACAGAGCTAGTTCTAAGACAGCTCGGGATACACAGAAAAACCCTGTCCTGAAAAACAAAACAAACAAACACCACAACAAAATACAAATAAAAGGGAAGAGCCTTAGACAGAGGGAGAGAGTGGCCTCTGGAGCCGGGCAGTGGTGGCGCATATCTTTAATCCCAGAACTCAGAGGCAGAGGCAGGCGGATCTCTGTGAGTTCGAGGCCAGACTGATCTACAAGAGCTAGTTCCAGAAAAGGCTTCAAAGCTACAGAGAAACCCTGTCTCAAAAAAAAAACAAAAACAAACAAACAAACAAAAAGATTGGCCTACGCATGATGTCACAGATTATTTCTCTGCCAGACTCAAGCCTTACACTTTTTGTCCAACGGGTATTTAATGGAGACCTTTTGTATGCTTTTTTCAAGATTTTTTATTGTTTTGCTTATTGAGACAGGGTCTTGCTTTTAGCCCAGACTGACTTCAAATTCTGCCCCCTTCTGCTTCTTAGTCCTCAGTGTTGAGCTCACAGGCAAGTGCCTCCAAGCCTGACTAGATCCCCTAGGGGAAGTATGTGTTATTTGGAAACGGAGGGAAAAGAGTAGTGGATAATGACTCCCTTCTGAAGTGGACCTGGATGGTCCATCTGGGAAGGAATGCTCACTCATACTCACCTCATACTCCAACTGCACAGTCTTCCACCTTAAGGGGAAATCTCCTGCCTGTCTCCCGGCCTGCCTGCATGCATGCTTGATACAGGCCCAAGGCATTTCCGTTCAAACGAAGAAGACCCTTTGTTCTGGAGAGATACAGCTATCCTTGTGGAAAGTAATACCTGGGCCTCGGGGAAGAGAGGGCAGGGATCTTGGCTTAGAAGTCTGGTTAGGGCTATTTTCTTCTGAGGAGAACGTCTAAAGTCACTTCCCAGACAATAGGTTTGGAAAAGGAGAGATCAGAGATAAGGGTCACAAGGGCCTCCGCATAGTGAGTGGGTCCACCAGACCCATTTCCAAGACTTCCCAAGGCCGGATCCAGGATGAGGGGTCTGGGTTCCTCGTTTTGCCCCTCACGCTGAAAACTAAAGGAAGTGCGGAGGCAACCTGGTCCTCTTGTCCTCCGTAGGTGAAGCGCCTGATGGGCCACCGAATATTCCTAGACTAAGCTGTAGCCCGGCCTGCCCTCTCTCGGACCAGCAGAGGGCGCGCACCACTAACGGGAAAAGAGGACTAGTCGCCAAGACCGAGTGGGAGAAATCGTTTTAAAAGAGTAGAGACAACTAAGGTGGAGGGTGGGAGCCAAAGCTACTGGGAGCAGCAGGACTTTGTGAAGGAAAGTGAGAGAAGGTATTAAGAGAATTGGACGGAGTAGGGAGTGGAGGCGGGGAAGGGTATTAAATGAGGGCAAAATGGAATGGCTGATGGAAGGTTGGGAGCGAGTGAAGGGAGAGGATATGGGTTGCCTGTTGGAATGAGGTGAGAGGACAGCAGAAAGGTGGAGTGGGGTGGCCGTTGGGTTCAAAGTTGGGATGGGATGGGGCGAGGGTTAGAGACGAACCCTCTTAGGATCCCACCCACCGGCTCCTCCTCACCCCTGGCCACCAGCCACCGACACCCAGGCCTGCTTACTGTCATTCTCTGGCGGTCTTTTGCTCCGCCTACGCTGAGCCTTTTACGTCTTTGGCCTCCCTGAAAAGGGCCCTGGTACAGCAATGAACAGAAAGGAGGCAGTAGAGAGCTTGGGAGCTTTAATGGGGCTGAAAGGGTTAGGTACACGCTGGGTCATTGAGCCAGAGTGTGGGGTGGGAGAGAAGGAAGCCAGCGTGTTGGGCTGGGGATGGGGGACCGCAGAGATGTTTACCAAGCCTTCTCAGATCTCGGGAAGAAGGAGTGTGAGAAGCCTCGAGGTACTGGAGTTTGGAGCAGGTCCTCGGAGAGAGAGAAAAAAAATCAAGAAAGAAACTAGAAAAATAGGGGTCGTAGAGGGGGAGCCAGGGGTGCAGGTGGGAAGAGAAAGCGGCACCACGGGAGTTTTAGAATCTGGAGACATGAAAGAGAAAAATTAAAGTGGGGGCAAATTGCCCTTCCTGGGGTGGAGATAATGGGGGGCTGGAAGCCTAGTGTTCTAGGAAAACCTCAGAAGCTTCCAGTCTTTTCTTTCCTGGGCTGGGCACGGCTGCTTCAATGAAATCTGTGCTGAAGGAACGTCGGGGAAAGTTTCGGGGCTCCTCCCAGGATGAGGGTGGGACTGGCCACTGGACGTCTGGGAGAGGCCCTGGCTCACCAGGCCGCCCCGTCTAGTGATAATGACCCCCTAAGTGCGAGGCGGCGGTCACCGCGCCGAATGGCCCGGGTGGGGGCTGCAAGCCCGGGGTGGGGTAGAGTGCGGTGGCTGCGGCGGTGGCGTTCGGGCCGGGCCAGTAGGAGAAGCCAGCGGGCGCGACGCCGGCCGAGGCTGCCATAAGGTTGAGTTTGGAGAGGCCGGGGAACGGCAGCGGGGCCAGCCCGGCAGGGAGCTTGTAGAGTGCGCCGTCCTGGGCGGCGGCGGCTGCTGCTGCAGCAGCGGCGGCGGCGTGGGCGTGCGCGGGCGGTGGCTGGCAAGCCTGCGCCAGGCCCTGGAAGTCAAAGCGATAGGCGTAGCGCTTTCCGTGCACCTTGCTCATGATGTTTTTATCGTAGTAGTAGCGGAGTGCGCGGCTTAGCTTGTCGTAGTTCATGTTGGGCTTGCTCTTGCGCTCGCCCCAGCGTCGGGCCACCTCGTCGGGGTCGGTGAGCTTGAACTCGCCATGACCGCCTTCCCACGCGATACAGCCGGCGTTTGCACGGTCTGCCAGCAGCTCCAGCAGAAACTGCCACAACTGGATCTGTCCGCTGCCTGTGGGGAAGGGGAGCGGTCAGCCACGGACGGGGCAGGCTGGAACCAGAGGGGGTGGCGGGGGATGGGGGAGAGGCAGGCGAAGCAAGAAAATAACACAAACCACTGCCAATCCCCGCTGAAGAAGACAAGGGCACTTCAGACAGCACCCCTGTGAGAAGCAGGAGGCAGCTGGTCAACCCGTGCAAACCAGGAGAGCACAATAGAAACGTCTTTCATTTTGGAAGAGCTAGGACACATTGCTCTGAGGTTTGTTGGGTGTGGAGTAGCATTGTCTCCTCCGTGGAGAAGCCGTGGTGAATCATACTAGGCTTTCCTAGGTAAGGGGCAGACATCAGACCCTCACCCCACCCTGGGCCACTCTCCCTTATTTAGGGCTGTGACTGCACAGAGGTGCAAGACAGCCCGGTGCACCAGGACAGGTGAGGTCCTGTCAGGAGACCCAGGCTCCAAAGGGCAGTGTGCCCGTAGGACCCATAGGAGCACCAGACAGTCCGTCCCTACCACCCAAAGGTACACAGTAAAACAGGCCTGACTTGAAGTAACATCAGGACAGACAAGAACAGAGGCCCTGGGTACTGAGGAGAGAGGCTGATTCTTGGGGCGACCCCAGCCTCATCAGCTTCAGGTGCACTGACCTCAGCGATGCTGGGGAAAAAGGAAGGGCGGCTCTAAGGAAAGAGGTAGGATTGCAAAAGCATCGTGCAGGAATCCTGCCTGGTCTTCCTATAAATCTCGGGGTTCCTAGCAGTGACAAGGAGGATATCCCTGAATATTCTGGTGGTGAGTGACCCAGAACGCACACTCTCCGGCTTTGAAGCCTTAAGCGACAAAAATCTTAGCAAACTGTCCCCAGTCTTTTTAGAGAATAAAACGGACTTGCCTCAGGTGGAGCCTGGTGGGTCTCTCCTCCTTTATGTCACTCAGTGGGAACCCCCCCCCCAAAAAAAAGGTCTTTCTTCCAGAGTTTCAGCCCCAATTCCTCTAGATCAGACTGGTGAAGAGCTGGTTGGTTTTCCCGGAGGTCAGGGTTTGGTTTTAGAGCAGTAGTACGGGAAGCTTTGGCCTAAAAGATGCACCCAGCACCAAGTGGGAACAACAGAGACTTGGGCCCCCATCCGTGCTGGGTGTTACATCCCCTTCCTTCCTTCGGGAAAAGAAAAGCAGTTGCCCGTCTCATCTTTTGTGGCTTCTTGTAAGATTAGGTCACTGACTGGGGCAGGAGCTACAGGAAAGAGTTGAAACGCCAGCCATCAGCAGGATGATTGACTGACAGGCCTGTTGTCTGCCACAGCGAACCTGGGTAGCAAACACAATGCCGAGGCTGGCGTGGCTGGTGGAGTCAGAAAGTTCCTGCTATGTGTTTAGGCCTCTGCTAGCCTAGGATGGCTTAGAAAGTAGTTATTGACCCCACACCCACCCCCGACAGGAAGTATTCAGACTTTGCTCCAAAGAGAGCCTTTCCCCAAAAGATGCTAAGCACCAGAGCCGCCGCTTGAAAGCTTGGAAAACCATCCACCCTTGACAAAAAGGATCTGGGGGCCAAGATCCCCTTCCTTCATCTGACCTGTCCCATAAACCTAGAGCAAGGACTCAAAAAACTGCACGAGTCAAAGACCAAATCGGTGTTTTCCCAGGGCCTCTGCACAAACTACCCACAGCCTTGTAATTTTCCATAATGTGGGTGCACACCTCTCTGCCCCCCTGTCTAGTGGCAGGGGTACCCGTCCTATTGGGTTCATAACCCTGCCCCCCATCTACTATGGTGTCTCCATCAGCCCAGTGTATCATTCAGCTCACCTTTTTGCACCGCGGGGCTCAGTGGCCCCCAGCTCGGGCTCTTCCCTTCCTTAAAAAGACCATCTCCGACGGGATCTGCGGCGCAGAAGAAAACAGTCAAGCAGACCTAGGCGGAAGTTGCGGATTTGACCGAAAGGGCCCTGGGCTGCAGTGTTCTGGGGTCCAGGCCACCCAGCTCCTCCTCCCCAAGCTAGGCTGCGACGCATACGGCGCAGAGCCCCTCCATAGCGCCCAAGTCAGGAAACGCGTCCAGGAAAAAGGAAATCCGCTTTCCGAAGGGGCCGGCTAGAGCGTTATAAAACCCAGAGGGGATCGCGCCAGCTGAGTCTGAGCTAGCAGAGCCCTTCGTAAAGAGGAAGGGAGCGCTTGGAAGGCTAGGCCGGTGTGAACGCTCGGAGGACGAAGGTGAGGACCCTTGTGGGAGCAGAGGCGACGCCCAGCGGATAACAGCTTTCGGGCAAAGCTGGAGCCCGGAGACAACCACGCCAAAGACCCCTGCTTTCAGCCTCCTAGGATCCGGAATCTGCGAGTCCTATCTAGACCCACAATGAAACCCCGGAGCTCGCTGTCTACCTTGAATGCCCCAATCTGCAACCATCAGTCCCTTTCACACACCCACAAAGCGACTCTCTGGAATCATTCCTTTCCTTTGATCCATCGAACTTGGCCCTTGCCCCAACCTAGACTTCCCGCCCAGGGTCTTGGTGCCTCCAGCCCCCGGCTGGTCCCTGGTACCTGGCAGGTACATGTTGATCAGCAGGGGCTGGGAGGCGCCGCTCTGTCTCATCGCTGCCGGGGACTGGGCGGTGGGAGATGGGGGGGACCGGTACGGGGGGGCACGTCAGCTTTGCGCTTGGGGTGCCGATCCCCGCCCGAGGCGACTGTGGGTGACAGGAAAGAGTAGACGCCAGCGGGTCCGGCAAGGCCTGGCAGGAGCGGGCAGCCAGGGTGTGGCGAGGAGGGAGGGGGTCCTGGAGTGATGCTCCTAGCTACAGGGCGGCTTGCAGCCCTCCGGCCCCGCACGAGCAGGGGCCGCAATTTCCGTTTTAATTAAAGTGCGGCCGCCTCGGCCCCCCAGACCCCGCCCCCGCCCCTCTTATCTTCCCATCGCAATAAAGTCTCCAACGCGCAGCGCCTCAGCCAAGCGCACCCGGCAGCCCCCTGCGCTCCGCAGCCCGGGAAACACGCGGGGGATGGGCCCCCAGCTCCGCGCTCAGACGGGGAGCCTGGAGCGCGCTTCTTTTCTGTCACCCCGACTCTTCAGCAAACATCGTTGGACGGGAATGCTGGCCCCAATTCGGACCATAGCCTCAGGCCCCCTCCCCAGAGCCTTCTTTCCAACCTCTCCCTCCCCTCCCTCACTGCTTACTCTCCACCCCCCCACCCCACCCCCCGCGGTCCCCGTCTCCAGGCTGCGTTATCTGCATCTTCACTTTTAAATTTCCGCTTCCCTCCCTCTCGCCTGTCGCTGCGCTCCCGGCCTGCTGCCGTGGCTCCGGCCTGCTGCCGTGGCTCCCTTTATCTTTGCCCACCCCCGTGCCTTCTCCCTCCTTTCTCCTACTCTCTGTTGGTCCCTGGAGACCCGCTCTCCTTCTCGGTCTCCCCACGCTTTCATTGGTTTCCTGTCTTCGCCTGGCCCCACGCCTCAGGCAGGACACTGGGGCATCTCCCCTAGCAACTTCTGAGTAGGTCGTTTCCTTATTCGCCTCACCTCCTTTTTTGGTCTCCTTGCTGCCTTGTGACTGTTGTTTTTCTCCTCTTTTCTCCTTCCTTCCTCCCCTCTTTTCATCGGTTCAGTTCCGTACATTGGTTGCCTGTTGGAGCCTCTCTGTCTAGGCCGAGACAGAATAGAAGTAAGCTGATTTCTCTCCTCTAGAGTCCTGTTCCTCTTCCTAGTTCTCACTACAGCTATTTCTCTGCCTCCCTTCCCCATTCTCACAAACACTCCCATTCTGGTTATGGATGAACCACGCTGCAGCTGCAGGGTTACAGGGATCCCAATAGGCCCTGTACATGTGTCTTTCCTAATGTGGCTTCCAGGTAGAGCAGGGTGTCTGGGTACCTGTGAGACTTCCTAGCCCTGAGACTGAAGTTGGTACCCTGGGTCAGCAATGCTTTTTCTACAACCCTCTGGCACTTGGGTATGTGATACTTGACACATATGGCAGGGGGTAACTGCTGTCAGAATTGCTATTCTCTGTGTCCTCCTCTCTCTTGCTTAAACACAGGAGCTAGGAGAGCTGGAAATGGACAAGCTTCCTGCAGGGTTCTTGTTCCCAGGGTGCCTGTATGAAGACTGCTGTAAAAATCCTGCTTGGGTTCTGCAGGGACACTGTCCACCCTCACTTGCTGTCAATCACGGGAGAGTTCATCTTTGCTAGGCAAAGGTACACAGGTGAGAGAATGGAAGATGGGACAGTCAACAGAATCCTATCGAGACAGGGATGGAGACTTTAGGATGCAGATATGGGATCTAATCAAGCAAAAGCAGAGGTTGGGATGTTTTGGGGAAGCAAGCTTAGGACACCGCAGGAAAGGGCCTGAAGGGACTGCCAAGATCTCAGTCCTCCTCCTGTGCCCTCTTCTGGCTCCTTCCAACAACTACGGACTGAAGGCAACAGCAAGAAGGTAAGAACAGGAAGAGCTGGAGGGCATGGAGTTTACCCACTTAGTACTGTCAGCAGGAGGCTGAGGCAGAAGGGAGAATTGTGGGTGTGTTCCTACACAACAGCTGTCTGCTGGGCAAGCGTCAACAGCTCAGACTTTGTGCCCAGTCTGAAGAGAACTCAGGTGCTGAAGGGGTAAGATTCCTTGGTCGCTTCCCCTCCATTGTCTCCCTGTCAAGCCGTGTATCATGGTTCCTCCTGAGTCTACAGACCACCAGCCTGTCCAGAATGGGAGAACCAGAGACTAAAACCCTCAGTTGTGATGACTTCAACCTCTCCTTACAAGCTGCCAGGGGCTGATAGGTGTGGGAAGCAGAATGTGACTTCTGGATCCAGAAAAAACTAAAAAGATCCGTGCTGGCAGAAGTTGGACCACACAAACCCAAGAGCAGCAGCAACCTATCCAGGGTCCCTCTGCCAGGTCCTAGAGGTGACCACAGATGCTCCTAGAAGGGGGATGTTCAATTGTGTGTCCAAGAGAAGGTACCAGGGAGCAATCTCTCTCTGTCTCTGTCTCTCTGTCTCTCTCTCTGTCTCTCTGTCTCTCTGTCTCTCTCTCTGTCTCCGTCTCTCTCTCTCTCTCTCTCTCTCTCTCTCTCTCTCTCTCTCTCACACACACACACACACACACACACACACACATTGCCTATTTCTGGAAATAGGTAGTGAGAAGATGGGGCCGAAAGCCAAGATGTCCTGGGGCTTGGATTCAGCTCTGGTTCAGAAATCTTGCCTATATCCCAACTGTGTGACGCCGAGGAAGTAGTGTACTTAGTCTTATTGTCTTAGAACTGATGATGTAAGCATCATCTGCATATCGTGAGCTTTTCATAAGACAGCACATGGTAAATGCGTAAGGACAAGGACCAAGTTGTATGCATTTAGTTTTGTTAATACTACTGTCCTGCAAAGAGACGACCAGCCAGGAACCCACATGTTTCAGGCTCTGTTGAAACCTGAGGTTTTAGCCACAGCTCAGCTTAGCCTTAATTGATCCTGAATTTGGCACGTGGGACCCTGTTTTCAAACCCTGGCTTAGTCACTGATTGGGCTTAACCCCAGTTTCTTTGTTAATGAGATAGATGAAGAAAGGAGGATGTTTGGAGGATCAAATGCAACAGGAGCCATGGACTCTAGAGCCCATTCAGAACTGAAGCAGAATTCATACCCACTGAGAGCTCCGATCCTTGGTTCTGAGACCCGTGACAGGGCAGGTGGAGGGTCCTACATCCACTGCTTCAATGCTTTTCACAGCACAACACATATCCTTAGGGGGCTGATATTAAATCCTAACAACCACCCCTGGACACACGCGAAGCATGAATAACTTCCATTCTGGGGTAGATAGCAAAGTTTAATATCATGGGAGGTGCAAGTGATTGCTGCTATAGTCTTGGGCCTGGGTTCAGAGTGATAAAGTGTCCTCTGTAGAAGGGCATAGTGGACAGGGGGCTTCCCATGAATTCTTCTCCTGGGAACAAAAGAAAGGTGACTTTTGAAAGACACTGGCGGGTTCCCCTGGCTGTCTGAAGACCAGGGTGAAGATGCAGACTGAAGATGGCCTGGGGTGGGGGTGGGGGATACAGGATCAAGAAATGCTTTTGTGTATGGTCCAGAATTTTTGTCCTGCATCGTGGTTGCTGACCCAAGGAGTGTGTGGTGGTCGAAATTCAGTTTTGGACACTAATTCATGATGGGATTGTTGATCCATCTATAGAATGGCCAAGGCACCATCTGGGCTTTCAATGCTTTGGCCTACACGGGTGTGTGACCCCACCCCAAGTCAAGATCTGGAGCTGGCTGCATCTGATTGGATCACACAACTCTTGCTGGCTGTTTCCCTAGCTTCCCAGAGCATAACCATGGTCCTCGCAGTTAGGTTATACTTGATAGATAAAGGTTCTGGAGCCTTATTGAAAGAAACAATCCTCAAAAAAAAAAAAAAAAAGAGTGGAGATTACCTGCCTGCTGGGCAGTGGTGGCACACACTTTTAATCTGAGAGACAGAGGCCCATAGGATGTCTGAGATCGAGGCAACCTACAGACTGTACTACAGAAAGAGTTCCAGGGATAGTCAAGGCTACACAAATAAATCTTGTTGAAAGAAGGAGAAGGAGGAGGAGGAGGAGGAGAGATTACTTCTTATTTACACAAATGTATAAAGTCCTAGGTTCCGTTCCGTCACACACATACATACACACACACACACAGAGACACACACACACACACAGAGACACACACACACACACAGAGAGAGAGAGAGACAGAGAGAGAGAGAGACGGAAAGAGAGAAACAGAAAGAGAGGGAGCAAGAAGGAAAGAAGCAAAAGGGGAGGTACAATCAAGAGCTTTTATTAGAATCTTCAGGGTGATGATGACTTAGTGTAGAGCCTAGTGCTGGACTCTTCGAATGGACTGCAGCTGTCCAGTATGGGCCTGTGTGCCAAAGTCGCTGTAGGTACGGAACTCCCCACTGTGCCTGTCCCGCTCTAAGACGTACTGGTAGCCTCGGTAACCTGGGTACTGGTAGGCCACCCACCTATGAGAGTGAAGAAAATGGTCGTGAGTAGGTTTTGCATTGCTCCCACCTGTGTGGTCCCCTCAATAGTCCCAGGTGCCAGCAGCCAGCTCCAAAGCCACAGTTCAACCCTGCTTTTTGCTCTGGGTCTTCCTGTGATCTGTTTTAGCCTGTCTCCTACTCCCACCCTTCATTTCCTCTTTACCCAAGTTTTCAACCCCCCACATTCCCACACAAATCCCTGAATCCTGGTCTTTATTGCCTTTTCCTACTCTTTCCCTTCCTCTCCCCCCTCCCCCAGTCTCTGTTGGCTTCTAGCATCCTCCATCATCTCTCTCCATCTTCTCTTGGACTGCCCACTCTTCCTGCCTCCCCTGTTTCAGCCCCAGGACTCACGCTCCAGAGCTGACTTTGATGGAACCCACATCTTTGTTGGTCCATCCCATGGAAGGCAGTGATGGGTAGTCATCACTGAGTTCAAACTTGCAACCCTGAAAGTTTTCCCCTTCAAACAGTGTCACGCGGCTGTCACCATGGTTCTGAGGCACAGAAATAGGGGGTGGGGTTACAGAGATGTCAGGCTCTGTTCATGGATATAATTTTAACCCTAGCCACCCAGTTCCTGTTCGACACATATCATGCCGCCTCTTAGACATTTCAGGAGTTCACCCCATCAGCTCCTAGTGGGTCTGGCCTGCTGGGATGCTCAGGGGCTCCACCTGGGCCCTACCAAGACTTTGAGTTATGTGCGAAGACCAGACAATTCCCAGAGATTCTTTGAGCTTAAGGCTAAAGAGATTTCTGTGACAGGACCCTTTGCTGTTGTCATCTCTTTGTTATATTTGTGGTATGGTAACAGGGATCAAACCCTGTTGAGTATACTAGGTCGCCCTTCAATTTGTGATCCTTCTGCTTCAGCCTCCAAAGTAGCTGGAATTATAGGCATGTACCACTGTCCCCCGTGTCCCTCCTTTTCAGAAGGACATCACAGGCTCTGAGAAAAAAAATCTGGCCCACTAACCAGGACATTTCATTAACGGTCTCATTGACTACTCAATCCCTTGCTCAGCTCCCCATCACTGCCTCTCTCAGATTGGGACCCAGCTAAGGGGTATTGGATGGAACAGTCAGAACATACAGGTGGGCATGATGGTGTTGGTTGCATCTGGCCTACCACAGGGTCTTCCTCCTACAGAGTTATCTCCCTTCCAGCCTCTTGGAACAGAGAAATTGGGTTGAACTGGGTCCTCTGACCTTCACCACTAGCCCCAGGACTCAGCAATATATAAGTGAGCAGGAGAGCGAGTCCTCTTTGGGACATTTGGCTCATTATTACATGCACATGTGCACATGCACACACACGCACGCGCACACACACGCATACACACACATGCACACACACACACACACACAGGCACCATTCCAGCACTCAGAGACACCTTGACACTGACCCTGTTCTCAGTCTGATCCCTGGACTGAATTTGAGTGTCATCGGCATGTTAACACGTTTGACCTTGTGACGTCACATTATGCCTCTGAACCTCATTTGTAAGACTGTGTATGGCACTAACAGCATCCATCTCAGCCTCCCGGGACTGTGTGTGCTGACAAAGGTTCCCTTACACCTGTGGTGGATTGAAAGCTGAAGGGCCTGGGCATACTCACAACTAGAGGCTCTTTGATGCTGTCCATGGTGCTGATCCACACCTGCGTCTCCATAATCCCAATTTTCAGACGGTTCTTGGTTCTGGTGTAATGCCACGACCACCCCTACCCCAGCCCCATTAAAATTTTGTTCATATATACTGTTCGGGGGAGACAGATTTTCCAAAGCACTACACTTTTGCTGGAGCCGGAAGGTAGGCTACAGGGGAGGAGGGGAAGTGGGCCTTGCTCACCGCACAGAGCACTGGCCTGAAAGACAGAAGTTGGTTGCTGTGGTGGCTGCTGCTGCCGCTCCAGGCGCTCCAACAAGGATAATCTCCCTTCTCTAGAATGAACTGCTGCCCCTGGAAATCGGGGTACTCGAAGGCCACCCATCTGAAAAAGGTGAAGGGGAACTGGGAGGTATTTTTGCAGTCTCCCTCTGGGTCATCACTTTCTTGCTGTGGTTAAAGAAAAAACCCAGGGACCCAAACTCTAGACCATTTCCCAGACACACCCAGTCCCTCTGGCGAATGAAGCCCCCAAACCGAATGCTTTCTGGGGTTGGAAGGACCTAGGCCTCCCACTCATGGCCCACAGGTTAGAAGGAATGTTTTGGGTTACAAAGATCACCAGACCAAGGACTATCTGCAGGGATTTATGTGCCTTCCTAGGGATGCAACCGAGTCTCTGGCCTGCAAAGGGACCTCAGCTCTCTCCAGTTGGCTTCTTGAATACTAAGATGGGGGCCAGCAGAAAGGATCTGTCTGCACAAGGCTACCTGACTTCGCACAAAGAAAACCGTTGGGGTTTCAGGGCGGGCCCCATAGATCGTTTCTTGTCTTTGTCTTGGGGAGGGTTGTGAGTTTTGGAAAGAACAAAGGTTTATCTTGTTGATGACTCTGTCTCTGGGCATAGTGGAGTGTAGGATGAAGTCCCAGGCTCTGACTTTGGCTGGGGTGGGAATGAGAAAAGCCGGATACCCCTTAAGTTAGCTAAACAGATGCAGCAGGATCACTCACGCGCCGTTTTCCACCTTGACCGAGCGCACCCTGCGCAGGGCTCCTCGCTCACAGACGTTCGCACAGTCACTCAGCAGACGGCAGCGACGACCCTGGAAGTCCTCCTCATCCCAGAGCGTGAGACAGGCGGGCACGGCGCCCGGCACAGGGGCGCTGCTCATGCCGCTGCTGTTTAGGAAGGGCGGGATCACCGGCTAAGCTCTCAGGAGTCCTGTACTTAGCCTAAGCCGCCCGTCCTCGATAGGCAGTGCGGGTCCCTAGGTCTGGATCCCTCTTGGCTCTAGAAACAAGCTGCCCCGGGACAGGGCTTTTCCCTCGTTTCTCCCTCCCTTTCCCCAGCACCAGGTACTCACCGGAGGGTTGAGCACCGCAGGCACAGAAAATGGAGAGGGTGCGCGCGAGCCTGATGTGCACCGCTTTATACCTCCGTCTGGCTGCCTCTCCCTGGGGGATCCGGGCGCGGTGGGCAAGCTGAGTCAGCTGGCCGGCTTTGGTCAGCTCTGGTCTGCATAGGCAGCGGAGCCACCGATCTGGTTCCAGCCCGCGTGAATGACAACGGAAAGTGCTGAGGCGCACGTCGCGTGTCCGCAGGAATCCAGGCTGACTCTGCGCTTTCTTTCAGTGAGGCTTAAGCCTGGCAGAGACTCCAAGCCTGAGGGCAAAACACGCACATCCTGGCACGGACCCTCAGGCATGAAGGCTAAGCCTAGGGTTTAGCCTTTCCTGAGACCACGTGAGCCTGGCACAGCACTGTTCTTCCCAATGTTAAAATTCCCTACGTGAAGATTTCTGTTTTGGGCGTCGCTAGGCCGGAGAGGAGCAGACCCTTCTCTAGCGTCAAGCCCCCAGGCCTCCTTTCTCTGGGAGATCTGTCCATTGCTGTCCTTTTCTTCCGGAGCGGGGCTTACCAACTGGACTTCTCCGGTCCCTAGGTCGAGACCAGGCCTCGCCGCCAGGCGGCACTAAACTCAGAAAAGAATCCGGGAGCGCTTAGGTTTGCCTGGGATTCAGAAGTACAAGTGCCAAGGGAGGAGCTAACTGTCCTAGGTAGAAAGAGCATTTCAACCTTTCCCCAGCCCCCGCGAGAGTGCCGAGGCCGCCAGAGCCCTAGACTTCGCCGCCTGGGAAGCGATTAAGGGCAGGGGAAAGGAGAAAAGGCTTAGAGACCCAAAGAGGTGGTTGCAGGAAGGAAAGGGCCTCACTCACTGTTAGCTGTCAACGAGACAGTTGCTTTAACAAGTACTCCTTGGTGGTGAAAGGCTATCCCAGCAGGAGAGTCAGCGGTGGGGGTGAACTAATTTGTTACTGTTTGCCAACTTCCTTCCTTGTAGACTCAACAGCAGCCTGGTGGGTTCAACTTGCAAACACAAACGTGGAAATTGAAACTCTGGTGTGGAACTTTGTGCAAACTCATAATTGGCCAGTTTCAGAGTTAAGAAAATCCAGGCTTTCTTCTCTGTTGCCTCCTACCCCAACTCCAGGGGAGCTACCTAAGGCGCCTTCTTTCACCTAACCTGCTAAGCCCATTCCCAGCCCGTTTGTCCTTCGCACTCCCTGGAGAGTTTTAACCACCTGCTCCTGACATGGCTAGTTCCTCTGCCACTCTGTGGACGATGCTAGTCACCCGTCATCTGTTTTCTATCCAGCGTGTGTCCGTCTAAAGATGCCCTCCTCAGTTCACGAAGGCACCAGTGCCTCCTTCACTAGACTGTAAACCCCACACAAACGGGGAGGAGCTATGTCTGCCTTGTTCCCAGTTGTCATCTTCCAGCCTAGCATGGCGCTGGATACAGAGCAGGAATTCAATTAAAATGGAGTGAATTAACAAGGTGACCAACTGTGGGCCAAATGTCTGTGGGGAAGGCAAGAAAGTCTCCAGTGGAGTGGGTGATGGTTCACCCATCCTACTAATCCCATTTCTGGAGTTCTGGGCTTCTTGGGGGGGGGGGGGCAGACAGCACCTCCCTTTGGCCTCTCCTTTCACCAGTAAGAAATGACTGTTGGATTGACATACATGAACTGGAGATAAGATTATACTCTGAGCCAGGAGAACAGGAGGGTAAAATGGGACAAGTCTGACTAGGTTTGATTGAGGGTGGAGCCAGAATTACTGTTTGGCTGCTTGACTCTTCCTTAGAGGGGCTAGACACACATAACAGGCCTGTGATTTTTTTCCCAGACTATGGGGAAAAGTTCAGACTCCCTATAGGGCAGCAGTTACTCCTGGATGCTTACTATTCTTGCTTCTTTTCTGTTTCACAAGTCCTAGCTGCATCACGAAGTAAGACTTGAAAAAAATGATAGATAATAAAAGATTTTTTTGCTTCCATTGGACAATTCTAGAGGTGGCCACCAGGGGGCAGAGTCAGTCTGCACTGACAAAAAAAGTGTGTGATTGCTGTGGTGGTGACTGTAAGCTACTGTGCTGTTGTGACTGTGGGCTCTGAAATTATGTTATGTTTATCAGGAGCTTGGCCTGGGGTGGGGGTAGCTTCCAGTCCATGGTTAGTAGTCCTCAGGATTTGGAAAGATGAGCTCCTGGTTTTGGGAGTGGTGACCTATATAAGAAGCCTACCCTTTCCAGTTGGAAGTTCTCCTGACAGCAGCCAGCCTCCCCAACTCTGCTTGCACCCGGGTTTCCTCATCAGGAAAATGCAAAGGTCTCACCACACATCCACGGCTTTTAGTTCTACCTGCAGTCAGCTAAATGGCGCGTCTGTCACCACACCTGCTCGCACCGCCTACAGCAACTGAGGTTCGGTGTCCCCCAAGAGAATAAGAACAGGAAGGTACCCCTAAAGGATGGAGGCCTCGAGGTTCTCAGGCAGCCCCTACTACCTGGTGCGGCAGAACCAAACTGTCTCTGTGCTGTAGACCCCTTCCATTACCATCCTCCCTTTTCCACCAGGCTGGTCCAGTTCCAGCCCCTGGTCTCTCGGTCATGCCCCTTCTACCCCCGGCAGCTGTTCCTGTTTGCTTTCCCAGACCAGTTGAGCTTAGAGCTTCCTGAAGGATGGATGCCCAGGTGGCTTTGTTTGCCAGCTCAGTACCATCCCTTTTACCCCCTCCACATCCACTGATTTGACATTCAGGGACCAGTCAGGAAAACAAACAAACAGCCCAGCAACCTCAGACCTGTACCCCCAAACCACATGGAGATCTCACGAGGCAATCTCCACTCTGAGCCCACTGAGGCAATCATCTCACGCAGAGACCTTCGACACACACACACTGCAGAAGTCCTAAGACCTTATCCACGTCGCCTCTTCTATTGTCTGCCCCAACCCATGATTTTAAGAAAATACCCATTCCACGTTGACCCTCAGATCCACGATTGTTTCCGCAAGGATCTTTCCCTCCACCCAAATCCTCCATCCCATGTGGGGACTTGTGGACTCTGCAGATAAATGCCCAGACCCAATCCTGAGTTCTCATTCACACCCCCATCTCAGTAAAGGTCCAGAAAACGCTTAGGGAAGAGACACTGCCTGTGTGTAGCGTCTGAATCCATGAAGAGCCCTATTTTTTACTACTGTTGGACAGTTTAGAGGTAATGGTGGCTAATGTCTTCTCCTCAAGGTGGCCTGATCCCACCCCTTCCCTTAATTTCACAGGGAAATTATCCAGGGCCTTGGGGACTGAAAAATGCAAATTCTGTGAGTGGTGCCCTCATGCACCCGAGTCCATTGCCAGCCTTTCCTTGGCAGCCTGGTTCCTCTGGTTCCCACCCCACTTCTGGTCTGGAACAAGCAGAGGACTTCCTTCCCTGGGGCTGTACAAGCCTTGTCTCCCAGGAGACAGAGATAAGTCAGTGTGAGACAAACCCAGTTCATCAGACAGATGGGAGCCCCACCCACATTATCCCACCCTGTCTTATCTGTCCTCAGTAGGACTGGAGAGCTGACCTCCACCAGAGGGGTGAGAGGCAGCTTCACCCCTACTCACCCACTTCCACACAAGGCACTCTTCTAGGATGGCAGGTTCACAGTCAGGCGTCGGTAGAGTCATCCTCAGTAACAGGTACAGGGGAACGATCCCACCAACCTGATGTGTGATTGCCCTGTCCTGTGGGGAGACAGCTGTTCTGTCCATTAGAATATCATGTGCCAAGCATGGGGGAGGGCTGACATCGGAACACACCCTTGTGTGCTTTGATGGGCACACATGCCCCCTGCAGGAACCCAGAGAGGCATCCTCACTGTTTAGCTGTGTCCGTGAAGCCATGCTGCTGCCTGAGATCAAATCCCAGCTCTTCTGTTTCAAAGTCCATTTTCTCCTCTGTAAAATGGGAATCATTGTCTTGACTACAGTGGGGATTTAAATGTATGTAAAACACAGAGCCACCCTGCAGCACATGCTCAACAAATGGTGTAGTCTCAGGGTTCTCCCCACTTCCTCTGGGACGGGGTGGGGTTGGACCAGGAGGGGTCAAGGCAGTGAGCACCTTTCCCAACCTGATCCTGGTTCTAGGGAAGCCAGCAGAACACTCCACAAGAGGCCTTTCACTTTTCATATCCCAGGAGCCACTCTGCTCACTCAAGTTTGACAGGTCAGGGAGATGTTCCAAGTTCCCCTGTGCTGGCAAGGGAACAAAGGTGGCGAGTGGAGCTGAAGACCTGACCTCTGTTTCCTCTGGTCTCCTTGGCCTCCCCCAGCCCCACCCTTTGCTTTACCTGTAAATTAAGCTAGCTGCTGGAGGGGTCCTCCAGCCTTGATCCTGCCATGTCTGAGGAAGGCCCTTCTCTCCCCATCCCGCCCCAGCCTTGCCCCACCTGGCCTAGCCAGAGTGAGGGGGCGAGTCTCGTCTCCATGGGAATTAATCTCCTAGAAGGTCACCAAGGCTCCGGTGCTAACCTGGCTGGAGAGGGATTAGCACCTGGATGTGAGCCCCCTTCTCACACGGACCCTGAGAGGCCGCGGAGCCCAGAACTTCCAAGGCTGAGCCAGATGCACCGGAGTGGGTGGGGGCTAGGCAGTTGCTCCGCAGTGACCTGACAGGGAAAGATGGAGCCATGCCTGGCACTGTTCAGGGACTGCGTGCACGAGCCTCGTACCTGTCCATCTTCTGGCTTTTAATGAGGCGGTGTTCATCCTACCAGTCCTGGCTGTTGCCATTTGAGGCCCACCTCTGTGTCCTCCCTTGGGGTCACTTCCACAGGCCGCTGTCTCCCTTCTCCCTCCACCACACCTCTGGTTTTCTATTTCTGTTCATCCATTGGACCTCTTATCCCACTCCTCTCTGGTCTCCATCTTTTGTTCTTTCACACGCACACCTCGTGTGTGTATGTGTGTGCGTGTGTGTGGGGATGTGTGTGTGTGCACGCCTGCATGTGTCTGGTTTCTCTCGGCCTCTGCCCCTGGTTTCCCGCTAGCCTCCGCCACCGTCTGAAAGTTCTCAAGCGCTCCCTTCTCTACCTGAGCGCTCCGCTCTGCTTCTGACCTGACTTGGCTCTGAGCTACTCTCTTTGTCTTTGCCCTGTTCTCGGGCCTCTTCTTTCTCCGTGGTCCCCTTGGCCATTTCCCCTCTGCTGTTTCCCAGTCTCCCCATCACCCCCCTCCCCCAGGGCAGCGCTTCAACTGATCTATCCCTTTCCTCTTCCCCCTACCTACTCCCTCCCCCCAGCCCAGAGTGCTGACAGGGAAGACAGGAAGCAGGCTCTGGTTTGGCTTGGAGCAGGAAGGGGGAGGGGCAGCCCGCACACCAGCTGCTGGGTACCCCCCCTTCTATCCCAGCACCTGCAGGCCTGTCAGACTCCACCTCGATCTGACAGGGAGGGACCCAGAGGAGAGGCCACATGCCCCACGATGGCCTGGAAAAG